AGTAATCTATATTTATATAATCTATAAACATATACAAAACATAAAATTTAAATATGAATATATTGTATCTCATGAATATATGAATAAATGTCATATCTATGTTCGTAATATATAAATATGTATACGTAAATCATATTAATGATAATTCATATTAATTTAAAATAAATATTATAAATCATTATTGACTAAACCTACACCTTCGTATATCTATTGAGCAACTACCCCACATTTACATAAGCCAAGCTTACTACAGAGTATCAGAGTGTTTCCCCTTCACTCTCTCACTCACGCTCTCTCTCTCTCTCTCTCTCTCTTACTTCTCTTGTTGTAACTTTTGTAACTTTTAAATGATATGCTTTCTGACAGCTAATTAAGGCAAAAGAGACGACAAGCGCGAAAAGAGAGAAGGTAAACCAGAAAACAAAAACCAAAACAAATTGAGATGCGTTGAGTGTTGTTATCGATAAAGAATTACAATCAAAATGCAACTACAGTAGAGCTTCGTTGGGCGTGCTTTATATTTTGAAACTGTGCCAGCTTTCATCTAGGTCGAAATGAACTGATTACCTTTGCCTTGGTTTGGCAATAGCAAACAAAATATGTCAACTTACCAAATCAAAGAAAAACTTTTCCAGCTCAATTTTATGGACAAAAAACCAAACAGAAGCAGCGCGGCGAATACAAAATAATTGAAAATATATATTTAACAACTTTTGAAAAACAAATTTAATGAATGTCTGAAATATTTAAATAAATATTTAGTAATTCATACAAAATGATTCTAAGATATTAGACTTAAATGTCAAAAACTAATCTTTGTATTAGAAACTAATTATTTTTATTTAGCTTGAAAATCAAATTGTAAATGTCCAAAATTTTCGTTTTTTATTTTCTCTTTTTTTTTTAATTATTAAATTATGTGAAAGTGAGTTTCTATAAAGACTAAAAATAATAATTCTGTACGTTTATTAATTTCGAATGTATAAACACTCTGGTCACCGCAAATGGATATCTCATATTTTGAACTCACTTTTGAAAATGTATGCTATATAATATGTGCAAAGATTCAAAATACACATATACTTTAACATACATATTTACTTAATTAAGTAAAAAAAATCATTTAAATAATAATTATTATTTATAGAAAATATACTAATTTCGAATGTATAAACACTCTGGTCACCGCAAATGGATATCTCATATTTTGAACTCACTTTTGAAAATGTATGCTATATAATATGTGCAAAGATTCAAAATACACATATACTTTAACATACATATTTACTTAATTAAGTAAAAAAAATCATTTAAATAAT